ATTAAATTACATCCGTAAAACAAAAAATTATTTTTAAACTTCAATCGAAAAAAAGTCAATTTCATGAAAAATTTTATTTTTGGTACTGATTCTCAACGTGATTTAAATAAATTTAACAGGTCATTGCTATCTTATTTTTTTGAGAACAGCAAACTATAGAACATGTTTCAGTTATTCTAAAATTTTCAGTTTACAAAAAAAGTGACTATACCACATTACCAACCTATACCACATTTGCATCACTTCCACTACCCTCGATTACATTTTCACACTGGGGTATTATAATTTTTTCCGTAGCATCATTCCATTACCCCGCTCTGAGAATGTTTTTTTTTTTTTTTGGCAATCGACTCAGGCGCCTTCCCTGTAAACGTCTGATTCAGTACAAATCGATATTTACTTGCGTTCGGTTGTGTTTCAGTGGTGTTAATTATTGCCCTTAGTGCTATATTCTATTTTCTAATATGAATATTTTTTTTTAATTAAAATATATAAAAATAATCTTATCAAAATTTCCTTTAATTTTTAAAGTTGGAAATTATTTTGTGCTTTTTCTTCTTTTCTTTTTCGTCAAATGTCGCTCAGCTTCGTCTAACACAGGCAAGTTGTTGTTGGTTTTTTTATTCTAATGCTGGGCAACCATGGGCATTGGTGCCCTTTCTTACATTGTATCAATAAGCTCGTTCTCTGCGTTTCCTTTTTGCAAGACATTTCATATGGCGGTTTCTCCCTTACTCTCCTTTCTTTTTTAATCTCCTCTCTTTTTGCACACCTCCATTTTATTCAATAAAAAACCATTTTTCTCCCCAACTCGTGCACTCTTTTATATTAAATCTCTTAAAACTTCATTTCAAAATTTGAAATGAAATTTGAAATTAAAATTTATTGAGAGATCATGTCATGATCTCTTAATAATGATTAGTTACTACAGAGAGAGATAAAGAGATAGTGAGAGGGGAGAACTGTGAAATTAGATCTGAGATGAAGTGTTGTCAAATTGGGATTTTTGCTTGGTTTGGAAATAACAGTTTTTTTACATTAAATCGGACGAAAATATATATGGGAGCTATATCTAAATCTGAAGTGATTTCCCCCAATTTCAAAAGGTTTCGTCATTGGGCCAAATAAATGAGCTGTGCCAAATCATATCCAATTCGGATCATAAATGCTACCTCCACTTTGTTTACGGAAGGACGGACGGATATATATAAATCGGCTCAGAAAGTGATTCTATGCATATTCTCAAAGGGAAACGTGTGTCTATCTCGTTTCCTTTTGCATGGTTCAAACACATACCCAAAGACATAATACCCTGAACCACAGTGTGTTGAAGGGTATAAAAAGTTGTACATTCTACTACTTTTTAATACTTTTTCTACTAGTTTTTACTACGACAATAAATTTCCTTTTTGTTATCGAGTAGTTTTTTGCGCTTCTAGAGCGTACTCTATGTAGGAACAGGTTCTGGTTCTGCAGGTTCTAGAACAGATCAAAATGAAATATATGAGTAATTGTGGGGATTTTTTTGGGGATTTCATATCTTCATTTGGGGAAAAACTGGCAACCCTGCTGCGATGAACATAAAGAAAACAAACTCAGTTAAATTTGTTTCTCCACTTAGACCCCATCAAAGGTCCGAATATAATTTTATGTCAATTTAGCCATGTCTGTTGGTCTGTTGTAATTAATACACACATCTTTATACCGTTCAGGAATCGAGATAGACCCATGGTTCCTTTTGAGAATATGCATAGAATCAATTTCTGAGTCGATTTACGCATGTCCGTCCATGTATTTTTGTTAACAAAGTACAGGTCGCATTTATGATCCGATTTAGACGAAATTTGGCACAGTTCACTTATTTGGCCCAAGGACGAACCCTAGTGAAATTGGAGAAAATCGGTTTAGATTTAGATATAGCTCCGATATATAGTTTCGTCCGATTTTATGTAAATGATGAACCAAACTGCCAATATTTGTCCGATTGGAACAAAATTCTGCACAGAGTACTGATTTAGGTCCAGACTGATGTCTGCGAAGTTTTGTTGAAATCGGTTCAGAATTATATATAGCTCCCATATATAGTTTCGTCCGATTTTATGTAAATGATGAACCAAACTCCCAATATTTGTCCGATTGGAGCAACATTTTGCACAGAGTACTGAATTAGGTCCAGACTAATGTCTGCGAAGTTTTGTTAAAATAGGTTCAGATTTAGATAGAGTTTCGTCCGATTTTTTGTGAATGCTGCACCAAAGCCCCTATATCTTTCGATTTTTGTATAGCGTACTGAATTACGTCTAGAATGGTGTGTGAAAAGTTTCGTGAAAATTGGATCAGATTTACAAACACTTCTTATATATATATTCGTTCGATTTTAAGTAAATCTAAGCTAGGCCGATGGACACAACGTACTGAAGTTAATGGAAATTAATCTCTGGCAAGTTTCCTTGAAATCGGTTCAGATATAGATATAGCATAGCTTCCATATATAATTTGACTTATTGATGTTTATTGTACACCAAATAATAAATGGATGTTTCATCGAGATTAAATTTTAAACAGTGCAGCATACCGAATAGCGTGTAAATCGATTTACAAAATTTAGCATAGATTGCAAAATGACATGTGTAGGGATTGATGTTAGTCGGTTTAGATATAGATAAAGATCACATACTTAAGTTCGTTCAATTTCATGTCAGTGTTCCTTCGAAAAGGAGACGTATTTTATGATTTATATGTAGAATATACCCAAAGTGGTGAAGGGTATCATATAGTCGGCCCAGTCCGACTTTACTACTTTCCTTACTGGGTTTTCTTCCGATTTTATGTAAATTGTGCACTAAAGACCCAAAGTTTGTCCGATTGCCACACAATTTTATACAACGAACTGTAGTTAATATAATTTAATGTCTGACAAGTATCATTTAAATCGGTTCAGATTTTGATATAGCTTCTACATATACATTTTCGCCCGATTTTACACAAAATTGACACAAATTTTGCACAACGTATTTTGCACAAAGATAGTATAACCTAGAAGTTGGATATAAATGCTTCACCAATGCAGGTCCAAATGGCACAAAATTTTGCACTACGTACTGAAGTTACTATAACATAATGTGTTGCAAGTTTAGTTGAAATTGATTTAGGTTTAGATACAGTATCAGATTTTAAAGGTAAAAGGTGCACCAAAGACCCAAAGAAACAAAAAGTTGCAGCCTACGCCCGGTACAACGAATGATATATTTTCAGGCCCATTCGTTATAGCGAAACATTCGTTACACCGTGAAGATTTTTAAGGTGCAATTTTATTTAAAAACAAATAAATGTTAATCCACTTTTCAATGCATTTCTAACAAAAAGTATATTAATTGACGTAATAACACGCTAGCCCATTTTTTCGTTTTACCCGGTATATTAATTTAGAAAACGTTCGTTATATGTGATAGTCAGTATAAAAAGTCGACTATTTTGCTCATTCCTTATAACCCGAATTTGTTAAATTGAGTATTCGTTAAACTGGGCGTCGACTGTATTTGCAGATCTGATCGGTATTGAAAGAAAATATTTAATTTTAAGAATATCATTTCGATATTTCCTTATTCAGTAACATAATTGATATTATTATTTAAAATATTTATCGTTTAATATTATTTGATAATAGAATTTGACGCACCCGAACGGAATAACTACCGACTTGTACTGAATAAGGCGTTTGCAGGAGAGATGCATAATTCAATTATCGAAGGAATATTCTCACAGCGGGACAATTGAAAGATGTTTAGCAAAAAGGAATTGATAATAATAGCATATTTAAAACTGTTGTCACACAAGTCATGTCATTGTCATATGTACTGTCAAATTGTAAATCTGTAAATACTGTACACGTAGTGTGACCCACACGAAAAATTGCATCTGTTGAAACGATATGACAATCCATATGTATTTGTACATGATTCAAAAACCTCCCCACTTCCAGGTTTTGAATCCTATATATTCATAACATATCATTTGTGATACTTCAATTATATCAATAACATAAAACAACTTGTCGGTCAGGAATACAGAGTTTAGAAGAAAAATGCATGATGTTAGGATAGGTTAAATCTGTGAAGAATAAAACTCTTGCACGTGTTAAAGAAACCCCAGGTATACAATGTCTCTCTTTGGACTCGAACATTCCACAAATACGGGGTCTCTGACTTAAAAAGTTAAGTTAATACAAGAACACAAGTCTACCGATGAGGTGCAAGGATTTGTGTTTGGTGATTGGTCCCTGAAATCTATGAAACTAATAGGAAATGTCATCAAAAAATCATATTGTCTGATGAAAGTCATGTCCTCCTAGGTGGCTAACGAAATTTGGCGTTTTAAAAAACCTCAAGGATATTGTTGTCAAGTCTCACACGTGTGAATGATTGGTGTGGGGCGACTGTGTATTTGAATAAATAAACATCTTTTGACTTTCGTCGTTAAATTCTCTAGGGAATAAGGCAGCCACTTGCCGGTTTGATTATGCAAAATTTCATGAAGAGAATATAGTACTGTACCCTCCACCATATAGTTTTCATCGAAATAATGATGTCCGACCCTATAAAGTATATATATTCTCCATCAGCGTAAAATTCTATGACAATTGAGCCATGTCCGCCTTTCTGTTTTAACCACTCTAGCCTCTAAACGAATTGAGATAGCTCGCCAAAATGTTGCACAGAATCTTTTGTCTACAGATATAGCTCCCATATAAGGGTACCCTCAAAACCCTATATCGATAATGTACTATATATAAAATATAGCCTGCATCAAAGTCTTTCATGTCCAATAGGACTCATCCACACTCCGGACTATCTTCTTTATTATAAATTCTTTAGGATATTTGCTTAACATAAGTTGTTGGTCACTTCGACGCCCTCCATCTTCACCAAACTCCATGTTCAACACCGACGGCTGTCAACTGACCCCTTAAATTATTTTTTCTCTTCAGTGTTACTTGAAATTTAATCAAGAAAATTGATCAACATCATTGTCATCGTATAAATAGCCTTGGTCAGCTGCAGACCGGTGTTCACGGTCAACGGTTTTACAGCACCCACAGTTAAGCCCGATGTATTTTGGGTCATCATCAACATCATTTGTAACATTCTTCGATCTTTTATTGAGAGACGATACCAAATTATTTCATTATAACATGACTCAATAAAACCATCATTCTGAAATGGAAGAGGATATCAATATCTATATGAAAAAAAATGAGATCGTATACTTACCGTTGCATCTACTAAGGTGCCTAGACCACAGAAAACATATATCATAATGAAACAGTAAATAAAGTATGTTTGACCACCCGGCCATGTACCCAAGATTATACAGAACAATGACAATGCCATACAGAGAGCAATTGTAGCCATTTCGATAAGAATTACATAAAAATAATTTATTTTGACGGTGGAAATATATCTGAAAAGAAAACAAAAGTTGAAACGCAGTTAAAAGAGGTCGGGCCAGACTTTTGATGCCCTCCATATTTAATTGGAATGAAGGTTCCAACTGAGGGATTTTTGTTTAATGGGGATTTTTTCATAAAATCTCAAACCACATATATTCAAATTAGCGAAAATCGGAAGGTATCATTATATGGGGAATATGCCTATTTAGGGACTGACATAGCTCACTTTATCAACTTGTCCAAAATACCGAATATTGGGACGTGCCCTTATTTGGTGGCTACCACGGAACATGAACCAATATTGGGGATCCCGGTTGTACCCCTAAAGTGGACCAATATAACTCATTTTTCGTTGGAAGGTTTATTACCCAATGGAAAACCAATACACCAAATTACATCTGATTAGGTTGAAAACTGTTTCAAAAATCTTAAAAATAAATATTGAATTGATATATGATATTTTCAATACCAAAAATACTAGGAGAAATAACAATGTGTAGACCAAAGTTTAAAGCTCTATACTTAATATTGATTTCAACAGGCAGATGGAAGTACAGACTGACAGTCGGACCGACATGACTAAATAGATAAAGAATTATAATCTGATCCAGAATATTCATCCTGTATGGGGCCTCAGGTGAATATTTCTACCCTAAAAATTGGACCGATGCAACCAGTAAGGGAAATAGTAAAGTCGGACTGGACCGACTATATAATACCCTTACCCACTTTGGGTGTATTCTATGGCTGCATCTGCACCAATCTCAACAAAACTCAATATTGTCATTCAAGACTCAATTTGATACCTTGTGCAAAATTTCGTGTTAATCGGACCAACATTAGGAGTTTGGTGCACTACTTATATAAAATCGACGAATATATGTGTCTATGTGGGAGTCATATCGAAATCTGAACCGATTTTCACAAAAATTAACACACATCACTTTAGACTTAATTCAGTATTCTATGCCAAAATTCGTGCCAATCGAAGGATATATAGGGACATTAGTGCACTATTTGCTAAAATCGGACGAAAATATATGTGGTAGCTATATCTAAATCTGAACCGATTTTCTCGAAACTCACCACTCATCATTTTAGACTCAATTCAGTACGCTATGCTAAATTTCGTGCAAATCGAAGGATAGATAGGGACTTTCGTGCACCATTATCTTAAATCGGACAAAAATATATATGGGAGCTATATCTAAATCTGAACCGATTTTCCCGAAACTTTCCGCTCATCATTCTAGACTCAATTCAGTACGCTATGCCAAATTTCGTGCAAAACGAAGGATATATAGGGACTTTGGTGCACCATTATCTTAAGTCGGACGAAAATATATATGGGAGCTATATCAATCTGAACCGATTTTCTCGAAACTCACCACTCAATTCAGTACGCTATGCCAAATTTCGTGCAAATTGAAGGATATATAGCGACTTTGGTGCACTATTTGCCTAAAATCGGACGAAAATATATATGGGAGCAATATGTAAATCTGAACCGATTTTCACGAAATTTAATACTCATCGTTTTAGACTTAATTCCGGACGCTGTGCCAAATTTTGTGCAAATCGAAGCATATAAAGGGACTGTGGTGCACAATTTATCTAAAATCGGACGAAAATATATATGGGAACTATATCTAAATCTGAACCGATTTTCACATTGTTCTAGACTTATTTCAGAACGCTATGCTAAATTTCGTGCAAATCGAAAGTATTCTGGTGCACCATTTACCTTAAATCGGACGAAAATATATATATGGGAGCTATAACTAAATCTGAACCGATGTTTCCCAATTTCAATAGAGTTCGTCCTTGGGCCAAATAAATGAGCTGTACAAAATTTCATTCAATTCGAATCAAAAAATGTGATCTGTACTTTGTTTAAAATTTAACATGGACAGACGGTCGGACATGCATAAATCGACTTATAAAGTTTTTGTATGCATATTCTCAAAAGGATCCATGTGTCTTACTCGTTTCCTTTTGCCTGTTACAAACATATGCACAAAGACATAATACCTGTACCACAGTGTAGTGAAGGGTATAAGCATTCATTCACACTTGTCCACAGTGTCCTTAACATTGGCGGTTATTGATAATTCGACATAAAATTTTATTTTGATCTGGAGGATATACTTTTTATGGTGATTCTGGCGTTGCAAAAGGAATGACAAATTCAATATAAAGCCCCCCTTATGAACTTATAGTCCTTCTACTGAAGTACGAGTATAAAACCTTTTAGGTTTTCTTTAGCCCTTAGGGATATTTTCCAGACGTCCCCTTTTTATAAATCTGGTATAAAAATAAAAGCCCTTCTCCTATACAAACATATGTCCCTCAGGATATTCTGCGGACATCTTAGACCTTTTGGCACTTCATGTTATATTATTATTATTTAAAAAAAAAAATATTATTACACACTTACTTCATATACCTTTGATGCCACAGAAATATCTCGTTCAACAGTTCGCTGCTCCGTTCCATTTCATCATTTGCCAAGGCTTCGTTAACTTCATGAAATTTACACTGCAAAATATCCTTGTACAGCGGGACATGAAATACCAACAAAAAGAAACACAGATCGGCAGCAAAGTTGCCGAAGCCACCAAATAGCATGCTAGCAAAATGAATGACATTCATGATAATGAAATCTCGTTCGTTACTTGTCGGATCCAAACCGGGTATTAGAAATTGCATTATGAAGATGCGTTGATTGAAAACAAAACGATAAAGTGGCACCACGGATATCAAACTAAAAATGACAATGACATAAACGATGGCCATGGATTTCATGCCAAACACAGTTCGATTCATTGTTCTATTTAAGAAGGTACGATAATCGGAATTCGGTTTGGCATTGTATTCCTTGTAGATCAAATGCAAATCATCGACTAAAAAACGAAAATACTCTCTGTTCCAAATGGCGTTCAGTAGTTTGGCATAGCCCTGTAGCATGAAGCGTGGACATACAACGATTCAAAAATAAAATAAGTTTTAAAATTTCCCAATTTTTTCGATTTACTTACATGGAGGCCACTGCCCAACATGGTCAGGGCCTGTAAACTAAGAGACCATTGACCTACAACATAAATATTGAAATACACCGTATAGCAAGTTAGAATTACAAACATATTAATGAATATGATAACGGTCCAGGTTAAGGGATTCATTTTCCAGGTGGGTTTCAAGACGTCCGTACCCACATACATCGAACATATGCGTATTACACGAATAATTTGTTCATAACGTTGGACCACAGATATTGCCATTATGTTGAATATATATTTTTCCTTTGAAGCGATTTCCTTTCTTACACAAATAATCCCAGGACAGCACGGAGTTACAACTTAGTAGTGAATAACACCACTGAAAGGGTTATGTGAACTTCGATGCATGCGAAACAATTGGATGTAAACGGCAAGGCCTGCTAATGAGTTTTTTAACATCTGTCTATACCCTTCACAACACTGTGGTACAGGGTATTATGTCTTTGTGCATATGTTTGTAACAGGCAAAAGCAAACGAAATAGACACAAGGTTCCTTTTGAGAATGTGCATAGAATCACTTTCTGAGTCGATTAACGCATGTCCGTCTGTCCTTCCGTCCATGTATTTTTTGAACAAAGTACAGATCGCATTTATGATCCGATTTGGATGAAATTTGGCATCGGTCACTTATTTGGTCCAAAGACGAACCCTACTGAAATTGGGAAAAATCGGTTCAGATTTACATATAGCTCCCATATATATTTTCGTCCGATTTAATTTAAATGATGCAACAAAGTCCTTATATAACTTTCGATTTGCACGAAATTTGGCACAGCGTAATGAATTAGGTGTAGAATGATGTGTGTTAATTTTCCTGAAAATCGGTTCAGATTTAGATATGGCTTCCATATATATTTTCTTCCGATTTAATGTAAGTGGTGCACCAAAGTCCCTATATATCTTTCGATTTGGACGAATTCTGGCATAGCATACTGAATTAAGTCTGGATTGTTGTGCGCTAAATTTTCTGAAAACCGGTTCAGATTGAAATATAGCTCCCATATATATTTTCGTCCGATTAAGGGTAAATGGTGTACCAAAGTCCCTATATATTTTTCGATTTGCACGAAATTTGGCACATCGTATTGAATAAGTTCGAAAATGACATATGTTAAGTTTCCTGAAAATCGGTTCAGATTTAGATATAGCTCCCATATGTATTCTCGTGCGATTTACTGTAAATGGTGCACCAAAGTCCTTATATATCTTTCGATTTGCACGAAATTTGACACCGCGTATTGAATTAGGTCGAAAATGATATGTGATAAGTTTCCTGAAATCGGTTCAGATATAGATATAGCTTCAATTTCCGACCAAATGAAAATTTTAGTATCGTTTGCAGAATGACATGTTTATGGATCCAATTTCACTTTACTGGTCCATTAAAAATGCGACGTCTGATAGGATTCATTTGTTGAATATACCCAAATTGGTGAAGGGTATCATATAGTCAGCCCCGTCCGACTTAACTACTTTCCTTACTGGTTTTGAGTTATGAATGTCAAGTATTGACATGATAATTTCATTTTTATTTGTAATTGCAAATGGAAGTAACCGCATCATGCAACATTTAATACAACAACACACTGTCAAGGTCGGTGTATAAATTAATTATTTATAGACAATAAAAGAAGACTAATCAAAGACTCATTTGGTATTCTGGAAAATATGTTAGACCTTTGAGTGTTTTATGGTCAATAGAGCACGCTTATAGAAAATTTCACATAACCAGATAGAAATGTAGCTATGCAATGTCATCGATCGATGGACTGTTCACAAGAAGATTATTTTAACGTGGCCCAAAGAAGGAAGTGTCAAATCACAAGATATCGGTGGCTTATTTCGTTTAACTCTTCGACACATACGATGATCTGGAAACTTTCCCATAACAGAGCAATTGTCGTTTCTTTCGAAGTATACATTGTGCAGACCAATACTATCCAGCTCCGATAATTTACCGCCGTACCATTAACTGCAACAAATCGTCACCCGATTTGTATTGAATTTTGCAATCCTCAGATGTGACAATTTCCATTATCCACCGAAGTCGAGATGATTTTTCGATGATTGCGGATTCTGAATTATTTTCGTGTATATCGAGGACATATTCAGCATAATTAAATTTTATGAGTCTAACATCCCAAGTCTTAATGCAAAATTCGATGTAATACCGTTTGCGGAATGTCCAATTCTAAAGAACGAAGAGGCATTGGAAACCTGAGGTTTTATATCTTTATTTGGTATATACCGCCAAGGCGCTTCACGAGTCCTTTTTTTTTGGTGAATGTTGGCAACATTCGGATTTTAAAATTAAGGATTAAAGTGATTGAAATCATATCGATATGATAAAGTGTAGTGACCATGTAATTTTCAATTACCCCATTATCTGTTTAATCATTTACATGAAAAATGAAAAGCAAGATGTAGCGACATTAAGTTCGAAACGATTGGACATTAAAAAAAAAACAGTAATGGCCAGAATATAGTGAGTCGCATTCAAAAGTATTCACTTTGTTTTTATATCTTTCACCACACTGTGGTACAGGGCATTATGTTTTTGTGCATATGTTTGTAGCAGGCAAAAAGAAAACGGGATAGACCCAGGGTTACTTTTGAGAATATGCATATAAATCACTTTCTGAGTCGATTTATGCACGTCCATGTATTTTTGTGAACAATGTACAGGTGGCATATAGGGTCCGGTTTAGATTAAATTTGAGATAGTTGGCCAAGAACGAACCCTATTGAAATTGGAGAAAATCGGTTCAGATTTAGATATAGCTTCCATATATAGTATCGTCCGATTTTATGTAAATGGAGCACCAACCTGCCAATATTTGTGCGATTGATGCAGAATTTTGGACATCGTACTGAGTTAGGTCTGGATTGATGTATGCGAAGTTTTGCTAGAATCGGATCAAATTTAGATAAAGCTCCCATAAATATTGTTTCGTACGATTTAAGTAAATGGAGCACCAAACAGTCAATATATTCCGATTGAGACAAAATTTTGTATACAGTATTGAAGTTACTACAGGATGACATTTGTGAAGTTTTGTTGAAATAGGTTCAGATTTAGATAAAGCTACCATATATATTTTCGTCCGATTTTATGTAAATGGCGCACCGAGTCTGTGTTTTTTCTATATTCATTAAATTTAGCACCGGCTATGGAATTTAGTCTAGAATGTTTTTGTTAAGTTTGAAATCGCTTTAGTTTTCAGTTTTAAATATTTAGTCCCATTTTATGTAAATGGTGCACCATAGATCCTGTTCTATTTGCACGATATTTTGTTGTTGAAATCTGTTCAAATATAGTCATAGCTTCCTCATAATTTTTTATCCGATTTAAAAGCAAATGATGAAAGTGGAGGAGCTTTACATGAAATATTGCATAGCGTATTGAATTGAAGATCTTTCAGGTTTAGATATAGCTTCCATATATATTTTCCGATTTCATCAAAATGATGTATCAAACAACTAAAGTTTGTCCTCTTAGGACGAATTAGTGCACGACGTATCAAATCGAAGTTAGAATAACGTGTATTGGATTTTGAGTAGATGTACATTTTGGATAGCGCACTGTATTACAGCATACCAAATGACGGATGCTACGGTTGCTCAAACAGGTCTTTTTATATATATCGTATACATATTTTGCTCGATGATTCAATTTTTAAAAATTTCAGATTGGTATGTTCACACTAGCACTGCTAGCCTAGCAGTAGGACATGCCTAGCCTAGCATAGGACATGCAGCGTGTTACGGTTAATACATACTGTAATAAACAAATTATAGGGGCTGTGCATTACAGGTTCATTTATAGGAGGTGATGCAAATGTGGTATACCCATTTGTTTTTAGATTGCCAAATTTTTATTTTTTATCCGATTAAATTGAAATTTTGCACTTAACATGCTACATGTGTTGTCTTTCCATGTATCAGTTTGAAAATAATATTATTCTAACAATTTAAGAGATATTTGAGAAAATATTTGAAATCCCATAAAAAGTGATTTTTAAAAAAGTGCAGGTAATGTGGTATACCACATATATATATTGGTATAGAAATTGGATGAAATTTTCACTTCTAAATGATATCTTTTATAATTTATTGTTTTTAATGAATGCGAATTCAAACAAATATAATTTATGTCTGTTGGGATATTTTAACGGATACGTTGAGTGCAACTTTAATTTTTATTGTAAAATTTGATGTCAATCTACACATGGCAATATCTAATTTTTGTATGGAGAAAATATATATGGAAGCTTTAGCCTTTGTTTTTCATCCTTGTGATTCAGGTTAGGTTATACTAATTTCAGAACGTTTTGTTCCTATTGGTTCCTTGGTGCGTCAATTACTTAAAATCAATCTATAATAAAAGGGAGCTATATCTAAATCTAGGCCGATTTTCACGTAGACAAGGCAGACATCACTCTAGGCTCAATTCAGTACGTTATGCCAAATTTCGTGCAAAATTTTGGATATATAGGGACTTTGGTGCACCATTTACATGAAATCGGACGAAACTATATATGGGAGCTATATCTACATAATATTTTCGACCGATTTACTCGAAACTTGGCAGACATCACTCTAGGCTCAATACGTTATGCCAAATTTCCTGCAAATCGATGGATATATAGGGACTTTGGTGCACCATTTACATGAAATCGGACGAAATTATATATGGGAGTTATATCTAAATCAGAACCGATTTTCGCGAAACAAGGCAGACATCACTCTAGGCTCAATTCAGTACGTTGTGCCAAATTTAGTGCAAATCGAAGGATATATAGGGACTTTGGTGCATCATTTACATAAAATCGGAGGAAACTATATATGGGAGCTATATCTAAATCTGGACCGATTTTATCGAAACTTGGCAGACATCATTCTAGGCTCAAGTCAGTTCGTTATGCCGAATTTCGTGCAAATCGAAAGATATATAGGGATTTTGGTGCACCAATTGCATAAAATCGAACGAAACTATATATGGGAGCTATATCTAAATTAGGACCGATTTTCTCGAAACTAGGCAGACATCACTCTAGGCTCAATTCAGTACGTTATGCCAAATTTCGTGCACATCGAAAGATATATAGGGACTTTGGTGAACCATTTACATGAAATCGGGCGAAACTATATATGGGAGCTATATCTAAATCTGGACCGATATACTCGAAACTTGGCAGACATCACTCTAGGCTTAATTCAA